TATAGAACAGCGGTCGGGTAACTTTTTTAATCATTACCCCAAAACATTTTTATGTAAGTTGATATTACCCAAGGCAAAAAACAAAAAATCAAAACGATAACTAAAACATCAAATAAACATATTTTATTCAATTTCTATGATAACTAGAAATACAAAAACATAATAATAGATAACAATAATAAGATATATTGTATATATCTTATTATTGTAACAAATTATAATAATAATGGTTGTACTAACAAAAATTAGACATGAAAAAAATTATAAAAAAAGAATAATTGAAAACATTCTTCCTTCACGTTTTGGAGAAATGATGTTGTTTCATGTTCGAATTGCTTCAAAATTGGGACTTTTTGATGTAAGAGCGATTTGAATACAGTCTTCGGCGTTTAATCGATTTCTGTTCTTCGTTTTTATGTTCACTAGAGTGGAAAAGCCTTGTTCGCACAAATATGTTGTTCCAAATGGCAGCAATTTTTTAACTGCCTCTTCATGTGCAATTTTGAAAGCCTTTGCAGCTTTTGATATGCAAAAAGACGACAGATTTGGTTTACTCTCAAATTGAATACGTGCTTCAAGAGCTACGAAGGTCAAGAATTGCTTCTGCCAAACCTGAAGGATCTTCTGGTATCATATCAATTTCACATTTAAAAGGATCTACAATCCAACTGACAGTACGTATATCAAGATCTGGAAAGTAATCTGACAACCGCTTTCTGAGTTTGATAAGATGTCTTACAATTGTATCCTTGATGAAATATCCTATTTCTCTCGCTGAAATGATATTAATATTCTTTCCTTGCAATTCTTTGTTTAATATATATACTCTCAAAAATGTCAGCTAAATATGCGAGATATGCAACCCAGGGAGAGTTTTTAAACTTATCTGCGAGAATATTTTTTTGATCAACCATAAAAATTTCCACTTCAGTTTTGAGAGTCCATACTCGATTTAGTACATTTCCGCGAGAGAGCCACCTTACTTCTGTATAATAAAGTAGGTCTGTATATTCGGCTTCACCGTCCTGACATAATTCACGAAATAGCCGCGTGTTTAGTGCATGTCCCTTGATAAAATTTACAATCTTGATGACATCATGCATGACGGTTTCCGTAGGTTCTAAATATTTGACCATAAGGGCCTGGCGATGGATCATACAGTGAATAACTTCAATATTTGGGTTATTTTTTTACGAAAGCCGAAAAACCATTAATATGGCCCAGCAGAGCTGGAGCTCCATCCAAGATACTGAAATACAGTTTTCCCATTATAAACTTTGCGCATTGAAGTATTCATTTACTTTATTGTAGTCATCAATTCCACGAGATCTTAACTCGAGAGGAGAACAAAACAGCAATTCCTCTTCAAAATGATCTGCACCTTTGTAGCGAACATATACCATTAGCTGTGAATTGTTACTAAAATCAGTTGTCTCATCAAGCTGAATAGCAAAATATTTAGCCTGTTTTAATGAGAAAATAACTTGTTCCTTCACATTTTCTGCTAATATAGAAATTCGTTCTTTCACAATTCTCGCAGACAAGGGCACTGAATTCAGTTTGTTCGCTTCTTTTTGACCACACATAATCTCTGTCATTTTTACAGCAGCTGGTTTAACCAAATCTTCACCAATAGTGTATGGTTTCTTATTTCGAGCAATCAACCAGGCTACTTCAAAGCTAGCCCTTGATGCTGAACGCTGGTCAAATGTACCGAACAAGTTGCTATTCAATCTTTGTCTTTTAACAGATATTTCTAAATTTGCAAAGTATTCTCGCGGTTTGGAAGACCGGTGTGAATGCAAATTATCTAAATGTTTCTTCAGTTGACTTTTTTTGAAAGATTCTGAAGTCAATACCTTCATACATACAACACACTGTGGTTTCATTGTACCATTGTCTTCTATTTGTATAAAACCGTAATTAAGGAATTCGTCTTGATATTTTCTTTTTCTATTTGCTGCCATCTGAAGGAGACAGAAAATAATAGTTGTAAAATACTTAAATTAAATTTTCAAATTGCGGCTTACCTTGATCGATATATCGATGATTAATGATTGTCAGCAACTAACTATAACTCTCTGACTCGTCAATGTATTTGTATTCTGACTACACGGCACGGACTGAGGGACTGAGCAGGTAGCCGGGGCTCGGGGCTGTGCTTTACTGCGCAAAGATATAACTCGAGAACACTCTAATGGTGGGGAGTGCAGTGGCGCACCCAGGGGGGGTTTTGGGGTTTAAAAGTCCTCCCAGGGCATATAAAAAATTTACAAAGGATAGTTGGAAAACGTAATTTATCTTTCACAAATAATACAAAAAAATTTCGGTGCATGCTAAACAGGTTTATAAAAAATCAAATTAAAATATATACTTTTTACTCACAAGTTTCATTTTTACCCCCAAAAATTTCATTTTTAACCCATTTGGGGTAATTTTACCCCGGTTCCCCGACCGTTGCTATAGAAGATGCCCCAGAAATGACATCAAGATAGTTCTAGGTGACATGAATGCAAGAATAGGACGAGAGCGAGTTTTTATGCCGACTATAGGCAGGCATAGCCTACACAATATCAGTAGCGATAACGGATTACGACTGATAAACTTAGCAGCAGCACTGAACATGACCGTTGCTAGCACCTATTTTGAACATAAGAATATACACAAGGTAACCTGGACCTCCCCTGATGAGTCAGATTTATCACATCTTAATAGATTCAAGACACGGAACGGACATAACAAACTGCAGAAGTTATAGAGGCGCAAACATAGACTCAGACCACTGTTGAATGCACAGAAGCTGAGAGATGCAACTGCTACAAAACAGTACTGAGAAAATATTACCAATAGGTTAAGAAATCAAAGTCCAAGCGAAGAAGACTAGAGAGATATAGACTCCTACTGGAACACGATAAAGGAAGATATTGTGTCAGCAGCACAAGATGAAATAGGAACAAAAACATGTACCCGAAAAAATTACTGATTTGACGATGAATGCAAAGACGCAACACAGAAAAAAAATGAAGCTTATGCAAAAATGCTTACCCGCCGGACTAGAACAAGTGTAGAAAATTACCAGACAAAGAGAAGAGAAGAAAAGAAAATACACAAAATGAAGAAACGAAACCAATTAAAAAAGGAACTTCAATATATAGAAAACCTCAACAGAGAGAAATAATTCAGAACATTCTATAAGAAAGTTAACATCAACAGAAAAGAATTCAAGGCAAACACAAATCAATGTAGAAGTTTGAATGGCGATCTATTAACAACAAGAACAGACGTACTAAATCGATGGACGGAATATTTTAACCAGATACTTAATATAGAGGAAGAAGAAGAAAACCCGGAAGACGAAAGCTGTCAGGTAAGCGGAGCAGACGAGAGGGAGGAGAATCCACTAACCATCCTGGAAGTTAAAGACGCTGTAAACAAACTAGCCAGAAACAAATCACCCGGAATAGATAATCTTCCAGCGGAATTATATAAAGAAGGTGGCGACGATATCATAATAGCGCTACAGCAGCTTATAAAAGAAATATATATACAGAAGTCCCTTCCCAGTGATTGGAATATTGGAATACTTTGCGCCATACACAAAAAGGGAGGTATCTTTGAATGCTCTAACAATCGAGGAATTACCCTCCTAATGCAGCGTATAAAATATTCTCCAATATACTATGCCATCGTATGGCACCGTATGCAGAGCGAATAATAGGACAATACCAGGCTGGTTTCAGAAGTGGTAAATCAACAATTCATCAGATTTCAACCCTGAGACAAATTCTAGAGAAAACACTGGAATACGATGTAGATACGCACTACATATTTATAGACTACAAGGCAGCCTACGACTCTGTAAATAGAAGAGAATTGTTTAGAGCAATGATATACCTGGGAGTACCAAATCTGTTGGTAAGTCTAACCAAACTAACCCTTGAAAAAGTTGAATGCAGAGTACGAATCCAGGGGGAACTCTCTGAACTTTTTAATACAAATAACGGGCTACGTCAGGGAGACCCACTCTCCTGTAGACTATTTAATCTAGCTCTAGAAAAAGTAATACGTACGTCACAAATCACAACTACCGGTTCAATATATAACAAATATGTGCAAATCCTAGCATATGCTGATGATATCAATATTGATGGGAGAACAGAAAAGGCAGCACGAGAGGCATATATAGCACTAAAGGAAGCGGCTACAAAAAATATTTATACCTACTTAAAAAAGCCCCATCAAATGCCTATTTTGCAACTATTTTTCAAGAATTTTTTATAATTCCACTTCTAACAAACAGATCAAAGTTTATCAAATGCCATCTTGTAAATTTTTTCAAAAAGAACAATTTTTATTGTGGTAAAATTAAATACCTTTAATACTTTAGGAGATACAATCATTTAAACAATTACATTGTTAATAACAAAATGATTTGACGGGTTTTCAAAAAGCCTCCCCTCTGGCTCCTAGACCTAATATGAGCAAGAACTGTATGTCAATAGTTTCAGACAAAATCTAAAAATACTATCAGGTTAATCAGGTATAGAATGCTCCAATAAAAATAACAAAGTTTATGGTAATTTAACTTCCTGTTTTACCGAAAGTGATAGGCTGTAAATATTTTAAAGAGGTGGGTGGATCAGCCGCAATGGACAGAGCAGAGTTATGACATGACTAAAGTGTGGTATGCGTAAAAACCCTGTATAATTGATTAATTTAATTTATTGATAAAATTACCAACAGAATTATTTAAATTCGCTATGTTAGTATATTTAGTATTGTTAGTAATAACAATCTAACGCATCTGACAAATTGTTTGTTAATGTTGCACAATTTTTCAAAACAAACCACATAATTTTTGAAAATATGTATAGATACATTAATAGTATGATAAACAAACAATATACAATAAACAATAGTATAGGTAGGCACATAAAAATGTAGTTCACAAGTATGTGGGTAATATAATGCAATATTTTATTTAACTTATGTATACTTACGTATTAATTCACAGCGAAACAAAAGCCGCCAATTCACAACAACACAACTATGAACAGGAATAACTGTAGAACTGAACTGACTCTGATTCCGATCTGACTGACATAAGACATAAACATAAAACAAATTATTTTTATAAAAACAGGTTATGATATAAACAAATCACAAATCAGTGAGTACGTGGTATATTTCTGCACTTCCTACTATTTCTGTAATGTTTAAATGAGTATTTATAGGAAAGATGGCAGCACAAAGATATAAAAGTTTCCTATACTGATATCTATATATCATAGTTAAGAAGAAATATTGAAGATGGGGCCACATTGAAAAATAAGTTGTTAATTTGACATTATATGTTATTTAAAATATTACAATGTTTTGTATATATATAGCTCACTTTAACAATGAACAATAAATATGAAAAGTATTTCTAATTGAGTTAATAATAATTGTTAAATTAAGTAAATAAAATACAATGAGCCACATTTGTAAAGAAGATAACTACGGTCGATCGCATGTAGCTACTTAAAAATAAAAGAGAGGACGCTGTACGTATTTAAACCCGATTATTTAAGATGAATTTTAATTCAAAATTTAAACAATACTTGAAATTAATATTCGGAATACTGGCTTATACATTTATTATTAATTTAACGCTGTGCCTTCCAGTTTGGTTTTCTTTTTTCCAGCTTTTTTTCTTTCTGTAAGATACCTAGGTACTAGGTACCTACTTGGTAGCTTGTTAAATTTTCTTTGAAGGAATCTCAATTTTGATGAATATTTGTCTTTTCTGTCGAGACTTAAATGTGTTCACATTTTCTATATTGTCAAAACTAATAGAGACAAACCCCAATGATAGCTAACTACGCGCTTGCATCTTTTATTGATCACACATAACATTTATTCAAATAATGACTGCTTAGACTGTCCGCATAATCTGACTATGACTAATTACGGAGCACGAGATTTCTAAAAGACGTAATTTGAATTTATTTATTTTTCGTAGTTTCGCATTAATATCTCCAGTACATTTTTTGGCACTTCAATCCTAATGTTACTACAATCGTTATCGGCGCCAATTAACTTTCCTAATATTAGCCGATTTATCAGTTAAACAAAAAAATTCTCACCATATGTGATCTAATGCATCAATTTTACTTACAGCTACTATTTTTAAACTTGTGACTTACTGTAAACATCCATGATTATATTATTAGTATTCGGTACTAATTGTATTATATAGTTAATTAACTGTTGCGGGATAGATTTTTAGTCGAGTTGCATCATTATATTATATTATAATATGTTGGAAATTGATAACGGATTTTAAAATAAAAAAACTAACACTAAGACCACCACCGGTCTAAATGAATCATCTTATTTATGGTTATATAAAATTTATTTTTAGATTTGCTTAAAAAATATATAAAGTGACAATTAGAAAAATAGATGCAATTGATACCATGTGCCTTACAGGTAAACATGAAGAAAGGTTAAGAATATTATAAGAATATTCTACAAATAATTATAGGTTCAATAAAAATGGAAAGTAGAGAACTGAGATAAGAAGAACGAACTACAAGAGAAGAGAGACAATGAAGGAATAAAATATAGTTGCAGTCATCAAAGCACGGATTCTGATATGAATAGAACACATATTTTGAATGGAAAACAACCCCTGATTAAGAAAATTAGCAGATGTAAAAAGAAACTGGGAAATTGGGGAAGATCGGGATGTAAAAGATAACTAAAGCCAAGTCAGACGAGTCTCACCGAAGAAAAAGAAGAATGCGGTGTGATTTGCAGGAGCAAACGAATCAGAAGAACTCAAAAGGAAGAGTGACAAATCATTCAACCGACAATGAAAAGCTTTAATGATGATGAAGATAAAATTTATCGCCCATCATCCCCTAATTGGATGACTTTTATCTAAAGCAAAAGAAGTGTACTTCAATCATATTAAATGATTTTAAGCTTAATTGATTAACTTAATTAATAAAAAATATATTTAAATAAATGGAAAATAATCAATTTTTTAGTGAGAAGATTAGTTTAGTATTGCTGAAGGCTTTGCATAGCCAATTCCAATTTTGAATTTGTTAAGAACAGAACAATATACCCACTTTCGACATCAACAGATTATTTTAAAATTCCAGTTATTATTATATGGCCGTTTTTTGATAATATTCGTTAAGGAAGAAATTCAATTCTACCAGTATGTAACTTATTTAGATGCATGTCTAACTTTACCTGTGCTGCTGTAAGCTGGACCGCGTAGCTTAACAGCAGGATAACCGGTCTCAAGCGTGGATCAAAGAGCAGGATTCAAGCAGCAACCTGCTCCTGTAAAAAATAATGGAGCAAAGGAGCAGAATCTGCCCCCCTAAAATAAAAACACGAAACACGCTCATAAAACCGATTACACAACCTTGGATACAGGACAGAAACATTTGAAAAGAGACTAAGAAGAAGAATACCGAATAAGGATTAGCATTCTGAAATCATAAATCGTGAACAAAAAGAGATCACAAGATAATGATACAATGGACTACCCACAAAATCGATAAGGAAAGGAAGAAAATGAAAACAGAATCGTGAAAACAAACTTGGCGATAGAAAACAGTAAACTCCACATTACTTCAGTTTACTTAAGTCCGTACTTAAGTAAAACCAGAGGGTGAAACGTAAGATTTTTATAAGAGTCTTCAAAATATGAGTTAAATGATACAGAGAAATGAGAAAATAGTAGTTCTTAAATATCATAACGAAAGAGTAAAATATATCAACATAGAAAATAAGATTTAATCAAGGTCCAAGAAATCGTAAAGTAAAACAACTTACTAAATTTGGGGATTATAATAATTTGAGAATAAAGAACACATTGGTTTCCCCCATAAACACCAACACCAACACATACTACAAAACATCAGCAGTCAGCAACAGATTACATAATAAAAAATAGAAAAAGAATGCCAAAAGAAAGTTTCAAACTTAACGAGCTATCAGCTCAAACATAGATCTCATAGATCTCAAACTAGATCTCAAACTAGTGCTGGGGAAATTTTTATTTAAAAATAACACTAATAAACAATCGGTTAAATACTCTAGAAAAAAACTTTACAATGGAGAGTATTAGACCTATAGAAGCCTTTACCCATGTGAGATAAATCATACGGAACTTTCGTAAAAATATTGAATAAATATTTCATCCTGCCTTCATCACAAAATGTATTATTATAATTTCATAACATTGCGAAAATTTTATCTGTAACGAATATACAGTGTTAAAGCAACAACTTAATATAAGAGTCTTTGTGAACAAAGTGTTTTTTGAATATTTTTGATTAGGCTTCTGCTACTCGTTAAGTTTGAAAAAGATATCTGAAACTGGTTTAAGGCTAAAAATAAAAGTTTCCGCTTTGGGGTACCTAAGGTACGGCAAGTGCAAATAAGCTGTAGTGACGACTGTTGCTTCTGTCGTGTAATATCATTGGATTCAACTCAAAGTCAAAGCATTTCGTTTTATATCCAAATCTCCCCTCAGCTACTCGTCTTCGTTCTCATGATGCAAAAACACATGTGTTAAAGCCACCTGCTATATTAAGGCAGATACCAGACTACGATAAAGTTTAAGTAAAGCCTCAGTGTAATCAGGACGCAAGCTCTGACTTCCCACAGATGCTACTGAGTAGCTTGGAGCCCGACCAAAAAATAAACATTTTTTACTATATGAAGTGTCTTTTTCTGAGTTTAAATATCGTTAAAAAAATTGTATGGTATACTTCACTAAATCTAGTTTATTGCAATGATATCAAAAATTTGATATTTCAACGTAACATCCAGTATGAATCTACTTAATGGCGTCTGCTTATAGACTCATCAAACGGCATCGTAATCGATAACGGTGATTTCTATGCTTCTATTTGAGTCGAGACCGAAAAATCATTGGTCAGTGAAGAGTTGGGAGTTGTGAGCCGGTTGGACAAAACCACATTTTGCAAGAAAATTTGGCACCATCAAAAATAATTTTTCTTCCTTCTCTTCATAAAATCCTAGGAACAATAAAATAGTTTGTCAAATCTGCCCCAAAAGGATAGAATACATATATATATATATATATATATATATATATATATATATATATATATATATTCTTGGTAGCAGAGAATAAGTGTACTTATTCTCTGCTACCCTACCAGCCATCCTACCAGGAAAAATGTTTGAGAAAAGGCAGGTCCAGGAAGAAGAAGAACATCCTGGTTAAAGAACTTTAAAACCTGGTTTAGCACAACATCTATGCAGCTTTTCTGCGATGTTCCAAATACGATAAAGATTGTCGTGAAGACTTGGTTAAAAGCCAGATATCAGAAGTGTCAGAAGACCTCTAGTGGATCAACATGGTTCGTATTTAAGGATGTGTAGAAATTTTTGGGCAACAATAAAGATTCTGATACCAAAAATGTAGTCAAAAGAATGGTAAAGTCTTTTCAAGACTTGGTTACCTCATGAGCCTAATGGTACATTTTCTTCACTCTAATCTGGACTATTTTTCTGAGAATTTGGAGACTGTGAGTAAAAAAACGGAGAACGTTTTCATCAAGATGTCAAGGCGATGTAAAGAAGATGTCAAGGAAAAAAGAGCACAACAGTGATAACAGATTATTGCTGGATGCTGCAGAAGGACATTCCAGATAGTTTTTATAAGCGAAAATGTGTCAAGAGTAGCCCCAAAATAAAGAAATTATTTTAGGTAAATTCACTAGTTCATTTGAATTCAATAATAAATTTTTAAAATAATAAACATGACGTATATCTCTGTCAAATATAATATTGGGTAAAAGTTACCCAATTTATTAGGAAGCTATTTTCTTCTAATATTTCAATACTACTTACTAACTTAGATGAGATGTAAGCATAACTTCAGTTATAAAATAGTTAAAATTATCAAAACAACTTTTCAAAAAAAAAATTTGTAGGCTTGTGTTATCGCACGACTACGCTTCAGGACACAACTATTAATAAGGTTATTCGCTAACGAGGATATTTGCCAATATTCTTAATGAAATATACCTAATTAATGAAGAACAACAAGGCTTTCATAAAACGTTTGATGTTAGATTACAT